TTTTATCCTACGAAAACAGTATCAAATCGTAAACGTATAATATTTAGCATTTGCAAATGTATCGAAAAATTAGCTCCGCACGCACAAGTGTCAACGAGGCTTGCTCTCAGGCAGGTAAAGCTGGTAAAGAGCCTACACAGCAGCGACCCCGATACATTGCAGCGGCACGAGGCGCAACTCAGCAGAACGTGAGCATTGACGTCAACGGATGCAATCAGAGCTCTGCAATATACCTTTACTTTATTTTAAATGTAATAAATAAAATTCATTCTAGATCTAGCATCGATCTGATTCACTTTTATTTTAGTTGTAGTAATTATATTGTAATTTTTATATTGTAATATAGTATTTTAAATTAGTTTCGGTTTTTTTTGGGTCCTTCGGCTGCAGTTAACGTAATTGCAAATGCAGGTAACGTAAAGTCGGGAACCTGCCCCCCGCGCGCTCCGCACCCGCTACCGATCAAGCCACGCTCCGCGTAAATTATAATTATTATTTACTTAGGCATCTTTTACAGATTTATTATTAGAAAATAATGTTTCACGGTTTGTGCATAATGTTTTTTTTTAATTTTTATATTTGAGTTGATTGAATGAAAGCCAAATGCGGTTTACGATTCATGACGTATTAAAAAAAACTACTTACTAGATCTCGTTCAAACCAATTTTCGCTGGAAGTTTACATAGTATGTACATCATATATTTTTTTTTTAGTTTTATCATTCTCTTATTTTAGAAGTTACAGGGGCGGGCACACACATTTTACCACTTTGGAAGTGTCTCTCACGCAAACTATTCAGTTTAGAAAAAAAAAATGATATTAGAAACCTCAATATCATTTTTGAAGACCTATCCATACTCGTAGATACCCCACACGTATGGATTTAATGAAAAAAAGTTTTTGAGTTTCAGTTTTAAGTCCTGCGCTGATGGCTAGTCTCAGTTGAGATTGGCCGCCGTGGCCGAAATTCGGTCTGGAGTGCGTTATTATTTGCGATAGCTGCAACACTTGCAGGCAGTATAAAGACCTTATATAGACCAGTAAGCAAGTTCAGCACTGACTGCTGTGTGCTAGTACCGATACATTTTCACGTTGTATGGCGGTGGTAATGTTGGCACTACACGATAATCCGTTATTGTGATAAGATCAGTACCATTCGAAACCGTTCGTGTATTATAATATATCCTTCAATTAAACTTTTTAGGGTTCCGTAGTTATACAACAAGGTACTCTTATAGTTTCGTGATGTCCGTCCGTCCGTCCATCCGTCCGTCCGCGGTTTTGCTCTGAGACCCTAGATGCTACAAATCTGCTATTTGGCATAGTTATCTATATCTATATCAATTACGCCCAGAAAACTGTGAAATAAAATTTTAAAACACATTTTTATTTTGGGTACTTCCCATACAAGTGAATGGAGGATGATTTTTTTTAACCATCTATTCCATCATGTTGGGTATCATTGGATAGATCTTTTAAAACATTGGGGGTGTGGAACAACATTTTTTCGATTCAGGGATTCCTTTCTGAAATATTTAGCTTTAAAGTGGTATTTTCTATTAGAGTCGTGTGTCCCCCCCTCTACCAACTAAAACGCTGTTTTCAGAATGTGAAAAGTATACACAATAGTAATATATATATATAATGAAGTTAAAAAGAAAATTGTAACAGCTAAGTAGAGTTAAGAAGTTAACGAGTAATAATCAAATTATAAAATGTACTTGGGTTAGTAAAAAAATTCGTTATTACTCCATAGAAATTGACCGTAAACTAGCTACATTACTACTATTAGCTTTACTTTTTCTTTTGTGGGATAGATAAGGTATTATTATCGAAATCGAAAAGGTCTTTTAATCTTTTTTGAATACTACTCCCTATAAGGCTGATTTGAAAATAAGTCCTTCAGTTACGATCTTCCTATTCGGGCCCATTATTAGTCGATATAGCGGTCAAACCGCGAGCTCCCTTATTATGCTGATTATCAAGGACCCACGTATTGGTGACGGGCAACTATGGAACCCTACCTCTACATTGTGGGTGGCCCGACACGCACTTGGCCAGTTTTTTTCTTTTCTCTATATATTTTCACTGGTAAATTTGACAGTTCGTCAGCACAGCAACTAAGCGTTTGATTACATCGCGGCGTGTTTAGTTCCCGAAATTAACAAGTGTTTGTTTAGTCTACGAATAATTGTCGCTGTTCTGAATCTGTTTGTCCATGTGCAGTTTATATACAGGACGAATTTCTAGAGTAACTATTATAGGGAGTAATGTTTGAAAAGCTTACTTAAAACTCATAGAGATGAGCGAGACGCAGACAACGAGCATGTCGAGCACGTTGAAGGCTGAACGCAGGAAGGCACCGCGGTGCAGCACCAGCCCGTATGTCACCAGCTTCAGGAACAGCTCCAGCGTGAAGATCCCCGTGAAGAACATGTCGAACTGGCTCAACAACTGGTGACGAGTTCCAATGAACGTTACGACTTTATCAATTTTTTTTTCAAATAATTTATAATACTATTTAGCTAACGACTAACCCTTAAAAGGTTAAATATGTTATTTTGTGTCGATAAATGTTAATTTTTACCAAGAATTATCCGAATTTTTACATAACGTACTGGAAATGATGCATACCATCTCAGGCCAACGCATTTATATTTTGTTTCTTAATCAAGTATAGATGTAGGTGTCTATTGGCTACAACATTTACTTATATCGGCTGGACTGTGTGCTCGTTTGTCACTCTTATTCTATTAAAAAAAAAACCTACAGTTTAAGAAGTCGTTTACACGAAAGAAGTCACACAGTCAGTTTGCATATCTTTCATGGGACTTTTTTTTTATAGGATAGGGTGACAAACGAGCACACAGTCCACCTGATGGTAAGTAGTTGCTGTAGCCCATAGACATCTACATCTATCCTCGTTCGCGAATCAAAATGCAGATGCGTTGTCACCAGTGAGGACTAAGATGGAATGCCTCTTTTCCAGTAAAAAAGGGTCTCCGGTTCTCTTCACTCACCATGCGAAACACAGTAGTGTTAGGCTGCTATTTTACGCTGGTTTTCTGTGAGAGCGTATTTTTTCCTCGGTCGAGCCGAACCATTCGTGCTACAACTATACTACTAATATAGCTGCAGCCTGGCTTTACCACGTATGAAACAGACTGTAGTTGAAACCATTAACTCTCTTTTGCATCCGTATAAGCTTAGATCAAGAAAATCGCCCTAATTATTGGAGATTCATCGAGAAACAAAATTTTTATTTATCGTTTTTAGTGTAAAATTATGAAATATAGATTTAAATGTAAAAATTAGCTACTGACCAAATTCCTGAAACCCCTCTGTGCAGCATCCAGTGGATCCTCCGCAGCCAACATGGCGGAAGAAAGAAGAATACAGACGAGAATGATGTTTCCGAATGTTGAGGATGCTGATATTTTGTAGCACAGCACTCGGAACCTAATATATTAACCAAAATTAACTTAATTCATTAAATTCTTCAAATACATGACTAATAATATTTTTTTTAGTTTACAATTGTTTAGAGGAGCTTCGATTAATTTTTATATAATTGAATAATAACCAATGCAAAGTTTTACTTTAATAACGAATACAATAAATTAATTTACTTTCATTTTTAAGATTATTTTTCAATTTAATATTTATGCTTAATATTAAATTCCGTGTTAACAATTTCAAATATTAAAATGACGGTAATTAAGGTTTATTTCCTTACTTTTAGTTGTTTGTAGCCGTCGAGCAAAAATATTGTATAAAAACTGTGCTTTTGTTTTAAATTAATAACTCATTAGAAGCAAACACATAATTCACACAAAGACAGAAAAATACATTAATAAAATCACGGTAAATGATAAAATATAAACACAGCAAGAAGCGCATGCTCTTATTAAAGATTTTAATAAGGAAATAAAAATCTAACTGTAACCAACTATAATATAATCGAAATTATAAGTAGTTCTAATAATTCTAAGTATTCACGTCATGCTAAAATAAAAGAAAATATCAGGGTTCAAAAACAAACCTAACCGCTAACATCGTAAGGTACCCTTTAATCTCATTGCAGTCGAATTTTGTTTTCGGGTCCAGATAGATAATGGACAAACACACGTGCATTGGTAACAAAACTAATGATTAAGGATTTATTCTGAACATAAATAATATCCGACAAAAGAGATGGTAATTTTTAATAGACGAAACAGAGAGTACGATTAACAACGCTGTGGACCACATAATGCCAATTGCAGGTACAATGAGACACGGGTACCGTCTAAGCCACCAATCACCTGTTTGTTGGTGAGAATATGAAGAAACTACTAGCGTTGGGTATTGGCGGCGTCTGATTTGGCATATTCAGTTCTGATACTCTCCGCGGTCTAGCGGTAACAAGCGTCCCCTCCTCTTCACACTGGTCGCCATCTTCGTGAGATAGAAAAAGATGCCAATTGTTTTTTAGTTAACTGACATTCTTTTTAGATACATATAAAACTAACCTGATTTCAAGAATTTCCTGCAATGTTAATGCAATACATAAAAATCCTAATCATGCTTATTATTTTAATCTTTTCTTAAAGTGATCTAAATTATTCACAGTAAAATATATAAGCAAACATAAATATTGTGAAATAAGCTTAAAGTTAAGTGAGTTTTAAAGAATTATCAAACATAATAAAAATAATAATCAAAATAGCTGAAATTTAATAAATTAGAAATAAGAAAGACGATAAGGCTTAAATGCTGAAATAGATTTGTCTTTGACGATGTAACTATATAAAAAAAGGAAAAATTAACAATTAAAGAAAGAATGAAAACCAACTATAAATAATAGCATCCGCTTGAAATCTATTACTGAGAAGATGTTTAGATAAACGTAAAATTATATTTACATTAAGAAATAAGATGCTTTATTCTTTTTTTAGCTGTAATTGAACATAAGTCGTCAAAGACAAAATAAATATTGAAATTTAGAAAAAAACATCTAATTAAATCAAAGCCGTGGTTGAAATTCCTCGTCTCCATTGCCCTAACCTGTTGTCTTTGGAAAATATGAAGAACGACGATGCATCAGGTATTGGTTTCATAGAGTCCCGTATATCGACTTCTGACAGACGTCGGGGACGCGCTGACGACGTAGTTGGCTTACGTTTCAGTCGGGGCTCGTCATCATATTCTGTGTTCACTGTTTTTTTGGTTAACAACGAAGTTACAATAATTTTGTAATGTTTGGAACAAACCATTTCTTAACGGGTTAATCGAGAGTTGATTAACGCAATAGAAGGTGGTGCTGAGCCTCAATTTATACCATAAAACCTTATGTCAGTCACACTCATATATGTTGTTATCTTATTTTTGCAAAAACAGATTGTATGATAAATTATTGATCCAGCTTACAAAGTGTAAATGGATTGCTGAATTGACTGGCTTAGTTTAGAAAAAACGTTCAAAAATTTGCTAGAACATAAGATGCAAAAACATTTCTTATTAAATAAAACGATGGTAGGTCAGAATACTTTACTGAAATTTCGTTGTCAATCCATTATTTTTTATTAATTATAAGCGCTGACTTATCACGTCTTTGGTGAAAAAATACATCTTAAAGAAACCTGCACATCTAAAACAACTTCAGATATATTATTAGACAAGTCTGCATTGGTGTTTCGATACGGCAGAACATTGTTTGTTTTTTGGCCCTTCTAAAACTGAGGTCTGCACACAGCATTGGGGCAATAGCAGACAATTACTTAAGAATTAACTTCGACAAGTACTCGTAGTTCCATGTTTATATTAAATTATATTATTATTATTGTATTAAATATTATTATTATATTAAATACTCGAAATCAACTATAAATGTTAAAGATCTGTTGGCTGCACTTATAGTTTTTGCTTTTTAAAAAAAAACAATACTTTATGCGTGATACTAAAACACACGTTGAGATTTATAGTTTTATGGCATAATATAGGTTGTTGTAGAATTTAAGTTATTAAATAAAAATAAGAATTGAATAGTATTTACCGATATGGTTCCTTTGATGGCTCTCCATCATTTCATGATCTTCTCTTTCCTGTTCTTCTTCTAGTCTTTCTTCTTCAACTTCTTCTTCGGCTTCAATATCCTCCTCACATTCCAATTCCTCCTGATGCTCACCTTCTGATCCTGTCTCTTCGTATTCTCGATCGGAGCTAAAATGTTCATATACTCGTAATAAAGTCATTATTTTATCGAAATCATTATAAATTAAAATTATATTTTACTTCGGATTAATAAGGAATTATTTCGAAGTAAAATATAAAAAAGAATATTTAGACATTTTTTTTTAACGTTTTGATTAATTGGTGACGATAACGGAGTGAAGATCCCATTCCTTAGAGAGGAGACCGCGACATTTAATTTTACACATTAAAGTATTTTTAAATTCTATATTTTTTTTATTTTTTTTTCATTAAAGATTTCTATGGGAGGCACAATGCGGATTTAGACCTGGAAGAGGATGCACGGATCAAATGTTTTCTCTCCGCATGATCACGGAGAAGCTTCTGGCTGCTAACCAGAAGATTTTCTGTGCTTTTGTGGATCTTGAGAAAGCATTTGATAAGGTTGTAAGGAAGAAAATGTGGGAACTGTTGCCGGGGTATGGTGTGGATGGTCGATTGCTAAGGGCTGTGCAGTCTCTTTACTGTGACTGTAAAGCCTGTGTGCGGGTAGGGCATGACCTGTCACCCATGTTTGACGTCCAAACGGGCGTGAAGCAGGGTTGTGTCATGTCTTCCTGGCTGTTCATACTGTATCTCGACAGCTGTTTACAGAAGCTGAAAGATAGCTGTTTGGGTGTGAAATTGGGTGACATTAAAGTAAATTGTCTGTTGTATGCTGATGATGCAGTACTTATAGCACCATCAGAGGCAGAACTGCAGGCATTAGTCACGTGTATGAAAGAGGAATGTGAAACTAAAGGTCTCCGTTTGAATGCTAATAAAACTAAGGTTCTGGTATTTGAAAGAGACGAAGAGAGAACGAAGTGTGAAATATGGGTAAATCAGGAATGTCTAGAACAGGTAAATGAAATTGTATACTTGGGGAGTGCTTTTAGCCGGGATGGAAGATGTGATTTAGATGTGGACAGGCGTGTCGCTGCCGGGAACAAAGTCAATGGTGCCCTGACTGCGTTAGTCAAAAGGCAAGGCGTAGCGAAGAGTGCACGCCTTGCAATACATAACGCAGTGTTGGTACCGACTTTGTTATATGGCAGCGAAACCTGGGTATGCCAGAAGAAGCATAAAAGTAAGTTGAATGCAGTGGAGATGCGATCTCTTCGTAAAATGTGCGGCGTTACCATGGCCGACCGAAAGCGAAACGAAGAGATTCGCAATATGGCAGGTTTGAAAGATGACCTTATCACAAAAATTGATAAGGGCGTGCTTCGGTGGTTTGGGCACGTTGAGCGAATGAGTGAAGACCGAATGGTGAAGAAAATATATAGCGCGAAAGTTAATATTAAAAGGTGTCGAGGTAGACCGAGACTAACTTTCGAAGACCATGTGAGCAAATTGCTCGAAGAGGGTAGGGTCAAAAGTACTCGGATACCTAGACGTGCATGCATGAAGAAGATAATGAATCTGAAAGAAGCGAAAGAGGTTTGTAAGGATCGTGACACTTGGCGATCTGTTCTCTCTGGCTACCCCGTCAGGGATTGTGCGTGAAGATAAGTAAGTAAGTAAGTAAGTAAAGTATTTTTTGTTGCTTCAGATATTGTCTCTATATCAAGAAAGCGATTCTATCATGATTCTCTAATAGAAATCTAACATACTTATCAGTAGTGTATGCGTCATCGTCGTGAATGTATTCATCGTCAGTATCTGCATGACCTCCTTCAGCAACTACACTGCCTTCGTCTTTTTCTTCTGCTGCTTGCTGTAGCAAACATATGTAGATTTTTAATAAAAAGATGCCACTATTTTAACTGTGCTATTTAGTAAGGCTTGCAGATTCATTTATCAACCAATTATATGTTATGTAGCTTGAATTAATAAAGTCATTGAAAAAAAATCACTAACTTCTGAACAGACAATGAACTAATCAGACAGCCAACCTATAGTAAACACATTGACGCGTTAAAGCATCTGAAGATATTGGCACATAAACGCTTTTAAGCTTGGCTTTGATTACGAAATTTGATGAACGTCTACAAAAGCTAACAGTATTATAGTTACATTTTTGACGATATTCATCTGAAACTTTAGTATAGCCGGCTGTACGTAAATTAATAAAATAAGTTAAATAATCCATTAATAAAACCAAGTCGAACTTTCAGCATCTGATTTAACGTAAAGAAACTGGTATGAAAGTATAATTTATTGGTCGTTGTTTTTGTCAATGAACTGATTTTAATTTTTAATCTACCACAATTATGTTACGTTATAAAGGTTTCTACTTGTAAAATGTCAAGGTCTTAAATATCGATTATAATAACGATAAAATAATAAATAACCATTTTTTCCTTTTTTTAAAGCAAATTTTGGATTTGTAAACAATGATGCATATAACAGTAATAATGAATTCTGTATGACACTTGTAAAATATCTTTGTGATGGAAACTATTTAAAAATATATATATTTAAAAAAATAATGATTTTATTAGTTTAGTTACTTACACCTTCTTCTTTCTCGATGTTAGTCAACGACTCTGCGTCAGCCAAATTATCTACAGCAATGGCCAAGAAGACGTTCAGTAGGATGTCTGTACATCAGATGATTAAGGAATTATCATTTTCATTGTACTATGAATTGTATGTTGCGAATGACTATTTAAAATAAATTTAGTTATAGGTTCTAAAGTATTGAATTACGTATTATCTAAAGCATTGAATTACGTATTACGTATATAACTATTTCTAACCCAATATTAAGGCAAATGATACGGAGAGCGTGAGTCCTTTCCCAGTTTAGCCGAGGCGTTCGTGCTTCCACCGCAATAAAGCTGCAGAGTGACTTTAACACGTGATTTTTTCTGTTCGTCTGATACGCCATATGGTAGGGCGTAAGAGATCATCCCATTTTGCCGTTATCAGATGCCATTATTTTTAAATCATCAATTCAAGCGATTACAAGCCAACTGCTAAATATCCAACAACTACCTCAACCATCCATACTCCATGAGATCTACTCCACAATATTTTTATAGGATATTGTGACAAATGAGCACACAGTCCACCTGATGATAAGTGGTTGCTGTGACATGTGACATGTATTTATCCTCAATAAAGAATCAAAATGCAGATGCGTCGTTATCCGAGAGGACTAAGATGGAATGCCTCTTTGCCAGTAAAATGGGTCTCCGGTTCTCCACACTCACCATACGAAACACAGCAGTATCAAGCTGCCGTTTTACGCTGGTATTCTGTGAGATAGTGGTCCTTCCCCGGTCAAAAAAATAAATAATAATAAAATAATAATATAATCAAATATGTACGTATAAAATTTCCAATTCACTAACTAAAACATATAAATTCAAAGTTTATAAAAATACGACAGCTCTTCACTTTAAAAAGGATACAGTTACCGCAGATGAACAAGATGATAAAATAAATACATGCCAATATTCCGACCGAGCCCACACCGCCATACGCTTTAATACCTTCATACATGACAGCGTTCCAGTCTTCACCTGTTAAGATCTGCAAATGGAATTGTAATTTTAATTATTGTAGTGTTTGCATATATATAGTATACAGTAAATATTGTTATTTGTTTTATTTACTAATAATTTACCATGCACAAATACACAAACATACATTTATATATAAGTCACTGTCGAGCGCACCGCGTCAGTTACACGAGAGCCTCGGGCGAGAGTGGTACATGTTTAGTTAAGTGCGTGCCGAACCTGTGTTACACTACAGTGATTAGAGAATTATGTTTCTTTTTAGATCTTCAGGTTTATATGAATTAGTAAGAGTATTTATTTTAACATATAGAGCACCTGTTTATTGTTTTGTTAGGTCATTTAAATAATAGAAGTTGAGGCGAGTTTTCGACGCTGGAGACTTGGTAGGGCTAGTTTGCGCTAATTTATTTTCTGCCGATTTCAAAAAGGAGACGGTACTCAATTCGACCGTATGTTTTTTATGTGTGTTATACTCATAACTTTTTACTGGGTGAACCGATTTCGATGACTCTTTTTTTATTTGAAAGCTGGTACTTCACTTGCAGTCCCCAATGATTTTGATCAAGGTCAGACCAATGGTTTTTGAGTTATTCTTAATAATTTATATTGAAGTCAGCTGTACAAAATTTTAAATTTTAAATTATTACTAACCAACTATACGATTGTATACTTTAGATAATATTGTGCTTGTACTAATCACTAACTATTGATCGAATAACGAACTTTTTTTTTATAGAATAAGGATAATAAACGAGAACAAAGCCCACCCGATGGTAAGTGGATGCTATTGCTCATAGATATCTATCATCGATTGAGAAACCAAATGCAGATGCGTTGTCACCCTTGAGGACCAAGATGGAATGCCTCGTTACTAGTAAAAAAAGGTCTCGGATTCTCTACACTCACCAAACGGAGCATAAAGCTGTTTATTCACACTGATCTTCTGAGAAGGTGCCGTGTAGTTTGCGTCTTAAGAGAAGCCTTTACTCCATTTCGTCTCGTGGCTATCGTAAGAGGAGACTATAAGATATGTCAAACCATCTCGTTTACGCCAAGTTATTCAATTTATTGTGGCGGCTCTGTCGTCGCGCCACATCGAAACCTAAATCGCGCTATCAAGTTCCGAAATAAAAGCAGTATATATATATATAGAATAGCTCCGAACTACCACACAGAGCGTTATCCGCTCCCCGGGCAGAACACTTTGCCCGGCGGGAGATCTCGCCCTTTTCCTTCCACCGGCTACAGTGGTGACCCCGACGTGATATGAATACGCAACCAACAACCTTTGAAAACTTAACTTAATCATAAATCAAGACGGCTCCGTGGCGCAGTGGCTTAGCAATCAGTTGTTGCGCTGGGGGCTGCGGGTTCGAATCCCGCACGGAACAAGTATTTGTATGGCCTACAAATAATTGTTCCGGGTCTAGATGTTTGTCCTTGTGCAATTTATGTTTTGTAAACTGTCTCCACGACACAGGAGAAAATCCTAGTGTGGGGGTAACGTTTTTTAAAGAACAAATTAAAGAACAAAAATCATCATCGATTTCAAGTACCCCTTCCATTCGCTCCCGAGCAGATATTGTCTGCAGTCTTAACATTCTGCAAGCCAACAAAGGTTCACCGCGGCACTGCAATAAAAATGCTTCCTGTTCGTTCAAGCTACTTTACTTACGCTACAACTACTACTAATACTCAGCAGACTACAAGGGAACTCCCTTGCACTTGCACATTTGTCGACATCTAGACTGCACTATTTATCTCCGGTCTGAGCAGGGGGTTGATGTGGCGGCGCTGTCGTCGCGCCACAAGCGAAGATACATCGAAGCCTAAATCGCGCTATCAAAGTTCCGAAATAAAAGCAGTATATATAGAATAGCCCCGAACTACCACTCGGAGCGTTGGGCGCTCCCCGGGCCGAATACCTTGCCCGGCGGGAGATCTCCCCTTTTCCTTCCACCCGCTACAACATTTTATTTGTCTATTTAAATATTTTATTTTATAAAATTAAATTGAAACTAAAATACAGTAATAAATTATAGTAAGTGGCTACTGTAGTGGATTCTCACACATGCAGCCAGCTTAAAACAAATACGCATCGTGATAACGATACAGTCTGTAATGTTACTGGCTCACTATACCCTTCAAATCGGGATACAACAGTGCTTGCACTATTTGCACTATTTGGCGACAGAAATAGGCAAGAGGATGCTACGTACCATGACAAACTAGAATTGAAATAGAGTAGAATTGAAGAGCCCGATTACTTGTATCAAATTAAAATATAAAACATCACCTGATTGTCTTTAATTTTAATGACTTACCTGGAAAACTGTCAGTAGCGCTTGCCAGAAACAGTCGAAGTTATGTCGGTCCTTCTCTTCCACTGGGTCGTAGTTGAATTTCCCGCCGAACACTTGCATGCCCAGAAGCGCAAAGATCATGATGAAGAGGAACAACAACAGCAGGAGCGACGCGATCGACTGGATCGAGTTGAGTAGAGACGCGACCAAGTTTGAAAGTGATCGCCAATATCTGAATATTAACAAAACTGTCTGTGAAATGATACTGAATGGACATTTTGTAATTAAACTAAAAAGTTGATATGAGACGATGTTTGACAGGAGTAAAAGCTTTTCTATTTTTTTTATATAGAGAATAAGTCAAACAAGCATAAAGACTACCTGATGTTAACCTTAACATCGGGTAGACTTTTCTGAGGCCAAAATGTAGTTGAGTTGTCACTCTTAAGTGCTAAGATGGAATGCCTCGTTTCCAGTAATAAGGATCTTTGTACTCTACACTCACAATACGAAACACATTAAGCTGTTTTATTTACGCTGGTATTCTGCAAGAGCAACAACTGAATACCTTTGACTTTTAAAAAATTATTTTGGTCGAACTGCACAGAATGAGTTTGTTGTTGTTTTTTTATAGGACAGTGTGACAAACGAGCAAACAGTCCACCTGGTGGTAAGTGGTTGCTGTGGCCCATAGACATCTACATCTATCCTCGCTTGCGAATCAAAATGCAGATGCGTTGTCACCCGTGAGGACTATGATGGAATGCCTCTTTTCCAGTAAAAAGGGTCTCCGCTTCTCTAAACTCACTGTATGAAACACAGCAGTGTTAAACTGCTATTTTACGCTGGTATTCTGTGAGAGCGTGGTCCTTCCCCGGTCGAGGCGACCCGTTCGTGTTAGAACTATATATATATATATATATATTACTACTAATATAGCTGCAGCATGGCTCTACCACGTAAAAAATGTATCTTGAAGTCTTGCAGTTGTATGCTTGGGTTTAGTTTTAATTTCATTAGAACTGGTCCAAGCATAGCAAGGCTGTAGCATAGGGAATCCTAGTATTGTCACCAGTCTCTACAACTAGCATTTGTAAGTTACTTAATTTTTAAATGTAGTGATATTTAAAATGTAATTTTGTAAAGAGAGAAATAAAGATAATTATTTTTGTGGGGTATCTATATAGTTTTTCATCTGGTTGGGCTATATAAATATATAAATGTAAATGAAAATGATAGATATACAAATATGCATAAATAAATTAATATTATTATTATTATTACCCACAAGATCCTATGCTAGTGGTAGCCCAGCCTTTTTCTCTAATAAAATTTGAATGTTTTTTTAATTTCAATAGCCTCATGTAACATTATTGATAGGAATTGTTCTTTAGGGAGGATTTATGGTTCATCAAATCTTATGTAATGACAGGGTCCGCCTAGAATATGATCACAGACTGCAGACTTCACCTACCCAACAAAGCTCCCGATTTAAAAATAAGTAATATGAAGCGCGATAAAATCCGTAAAGCTAATAATACCAATACAAACCATTTTTGGTTTAATGGTACAAATAAAAAAAAATATGTATGAACACTTTGATCAATAAATAAAAAAAAATATATTCAAGACGTTTGAATATTTGTCACCATCATGAATGTCCACTCTCTACGTGGTAGAGCCACGCTGCAGCTATAGTTTGGTTGTTGCACGGATGGGTCGGCTCGACCGGGGAAGGATCACGCTCTCACAGAATACCAGCGCAAAATAGCAGCTTAATGCTGCTGTGTTTCGTAAAGTGAGTGTAGAGAACCGGCGAACTTCTTTACTAGAAACGAGGCATTACATATTAGTCCTCAAAGGTGATAACGCATCTGCATTTTGAGTCTAAATTAAGAATAGATGTAGATGTCTATGTGTTACCGCAACCACATACTATCAGGTGGACTGTGTGCTCGTTAGTCATCTTTATTCTATAAAAAAATTGATTTCATTGCCACGGCAAATGAGCGTTTCTGTTTTCACGCAGGCGGATCCAGAGTGAGAAGCTAGTTAAAACTGTTATTACAATAAAATGCTTGATTTCTCGAGTGTAATTCTACTTACTTAGTAACCTTGAAAACTCGCAGAAGTCTCACGCATCGAAGTACAGAAATCCCAAGTGGCGGCATCACATCCGTTTTCGTGAGCACCATTTCGCTGATCGAACCGATCACCACAAAGCAGTCGAATCGATTAAATAGCGACACGAAGTAGCCCTGATTACAGTGAAAGTTGAGGTTAAATAAGGTTTCATTCCTCTTACATTTCGGTATTTACTTCTAATTTCAAACCTTTATTCATACAAGCTTTTGAATTTAAAATTTTATGATTAGGTGTTCGTTATAGTCGATTCAAATAGTTATTAATAACTGTCAAAGAAAAATTTTATATAGAAATTGTATATTTTTTTTTTATAAATAAAGGTTGTTTTAATTTCTTGCAGTTAAGTAAAATATTATTATTCTTATACATATATATTTTATTATTAAAAATATAATTTAAATTAACAGTAAAAAACCACCAACTATTGAGACACGCAAATTGTTACTATATTATGTATATTATCTTATTAACGATAGTATATTATATACTCATTACTACGCTTAGTAAAAAAGTAATGAGATGGAAATTTGCAAGAAACTTGACGATTGTATAAACCACAAGATATTGTATTCGTGAAAAAGAGTTTTTAAAAATGTGTTAAAATGTTTAGAATGCAAATTTTATTAAAATATTTTGTAAAGAATAAATAAGTACCGTATTAATGAAATCAAAAATTGCATTAAGTGTTAAATATAATAATTCAATTAATAAATGAACTCACTTGTAATCCTAAACTGTACATTTTGACCAACATTTCGAGCGTGAACAAGGCCACGAAAAACGCGTTGCCGTACTCTTGAAAGAAATCCAACCACTCGGGCTGTCTGAAAAGAAATAAATGGCGGTAGTAAAAAAAAATAATTTAACTAACAAATAGAGTGCAATGGCAGGAGTTATCTAAGGTATGTTTAAAAACTTGGAGTATTTTTTGTGAAAACAAAAAATCGCTTTTGAAAATAGTCACTGTTGAATATTAAAAAAAATATCTAAATGACGTCAAATTAATAAATCCCACCGAGGCGAAGACGGGTTAAAAAAAAGTGCACAAAAATAATTTGTTTTATTTCAAACAATATATGACGAATGATTAGTGCGAATACTCACTGATAATGCTCGCTCGCAAGGACTACGGTGTTGAGGAAGACCAAAATGATAATAAGCCAGTAGAATGTCTGCGACTTCACAGCGCGACGGCAAGCGCGCTTCATGCGACGATTCACCTAGAATAATATCGAAATGTGAATATAAATTTATACATGATAGAGCCACGCTGCAACAATAACATTATGGTTATAGCACGAAAGGGTCAGCTCGACCGCAGAAGGACCACTCCCTCACAGCACACCAGCGTATCATAGTAATTGAATGCTTCTGTGTTTCGTATGATGAGTGTAGAGAACCGGAGACCGTTTTTACTGGAAACGAGGCATTCCGAGGGGTGACAACGTATCTGTATTTTGATTCTTAATCGAGAATAAATGTAGATGTTTATGGGTATATATACAACATGTAACAAAAACCCTGTGTTTCCCGTTAAGTACGTTTCAGTATCACTATTCAAACCTATAGACAAACTTTTTTTTTAAAAACTCGACCATATTTTATATTTTATTAAAATTTTATTTTATTTTATATGGTTTTATTACCTCTTACTGACAGTAGCCGATGCTAAAGCTAAGTAAAGCGGGGTCTTTGACAATCCTCTTGCTCCCCAGACAATGCAGAGGTAATAAAACCACATACAATTTGCATACAATTATTTTTTTAAATAATATAAAAAAATATTGTTCGAGTTTTTAAAAAAAAGTTATTTCTATACGTTTGAATAACGATCCTGATAACGTAGTTAACGGGAACCACAGGGTTTTTGTTACATATTACATATATATATTAAAAAAGCAATTATGATTATTTACAAAAAATAACAATGTACAATATTTGTTATAATAATAATAATAAACTAATTAGACACTAAATTTATCATACAGTCCTATTTCCCGCGGTACCTATATAACTGAGAAGGCTGGCTGACTTTTCTCGCTAAATGGCCTTTGAGCGAGAAAAGAACCAGCACTCTTGTCACCAGTGGCAACCACAAGTCGCGGATATTCCTTTAGAAACTTAACCGCACAAACAGATCCCACGGAGCGACAGTTTCTGCAGCAAATTGTACAAATATGTGTCTTAGGGATTTATATTTGTGCCATTTACTCAGTTCAGTCGCCGTTCATCGTATCATTATAAGTCCACCGCTGAACAAAGGTCTCCCGCAAGGAATGCCACAAAGGACGGTCCTGAGCCACCTGCATCCATCGACTTCTTGCATCTCGTACCAGGTCACCACTCCATTTAGTATTAAATGAACTTGCTATTTGATCATTATTACAACACTATTGATTGGCTTTGAATTAAATAAATTAAATTTACCCTAATACATACATATAGGTACATACATAATTTTATACGTGGTAGAGCCATGCTGCAGCTATATTAGTAGTATAGTTGTAGCACGAATGGGTCGGCTCGACCGGGGAAGGACCACGCTCTCACAGAATACCAGCGTCAAATAGCAGCTTAAAACTGCAGTGTTTCGTATGGTGAGTGTAGAGAATCGGAGACCCTTTTTATTGGAAAAGTGGCATTCCATCTTCGATCTCACGGGTGACAACGCAACGTCGGTAGTTAAAAATAAATGAGAATTAAACTCAAAAATTAATAAATTAATTATGTTAACTCACTTTATCAAAATCGTTCTTCCAACATTCCCCAATTGAAATCTTTTTCTTCGGCTCCGCCATCTCGATGCCCAAGTTGTCAGTGGAGTCGTTTTCGTTTGTTGTCTGACCTGTTGATATTGTTTTTTTTGTGGTACTATTATACCATAGTATCCTAGTGATCCACCCCGACTACGTACGGGTGATCTCGACAACAACGCCACGTACCAGGTCCAACTATAGATACAAGCCATCTAGGTCTAAGCTAAGCCGTCTAGGAGGAGAAGAATGATGAACACACACACACACACACACACACACATACATCGAAATTTTATATATAACTAGCTGTTCCCTGTTACTTCGCCAGCGTATAATTTAGGTTTTTAATTTTGTTGCATGGAACCCTAATTATTTTCTAAAATATAAGTAGCGTAATTTACTCCTTATAACATCAGCTATCTACCAGTGAAAGTCCTGTCAAAATCGGTCCAGCTGTTCCGAAAATAAGCCGGAACAAACAGAGACAGACAAAAAATAAAAAAAAATGTGTTTTTGTTATAAGTACCGTATAATATACGGTATGAGTATATTATATTTTATATGCAATTAGTAAAAAGCAGTTATTTTGATATTACAAACAGATACTTCAATTTTATTTATTTGTATAAACTAGCGATCTGACTCGGCTTTGGGCGGGTGATTTCTGAATGTCATCAACAGCGCCATCTATCAGGTCCAACTATAACTAAGAACTATCCAGGTGGACCCATAAGTACCCCATAAAAATGATCAAAATTGGTCAAGCCGTTTAGGAGGAAAGTATTACGAACACACGTACACCGGAATCTATAAAGGGTTATTTTGCAATAACCGGCCAAATTTGCAGAGAAGGTTCAGAATAAGTAATATAGGCAAATGGTGAAAAAATAAATTAAAAATATTCTCAAACATTTTGTCCTTTTTATCCTTTAGATTAAAAATGCGTGGTAATGCTTTATTTTAACGAACTTTACTGCGCACGCATGTCGTAAGGGTCTATCGGTAGGCAAAAACGTTGTTGTCCATAAATTACATACATAGTGGGATAATTTGAAATAAAAGTAGAAGCCTTATTTACTCGTATTTTTAAAAATTGCAACAACGGTATATCATCAATTATATATTTGAACTTAAGTTTAAAATTTGGCTACTCTTTGAAAAATAATCCTGTATATAAAAGACGACATTCCAGACAGAATTTCGGTCACGGCGGTTAGTTTCAACCTAGACCAGCCATTTGCGCAGTCCAGAACTATAGTGCACAAGTGTGCGCGCAAGCACAGGTGCACTCTCTATTCCCTCACTCTCATAGTCCGATGGTACGGTAAACAGACACGACCGGAGAGAGATCAGGCGCAGGACCAGCGACTATTACGTGTTTCCCAAGGCTTGGAGTTAAAACAACACCAACTTCTGACTCCGGCTGCTTCTGAGAATTTTTGACAGAAAAACCCACTAACTGATTTTGGCCTGATTCGGGATTCGAACCCGGGACGTCTTGATTAGAAATCGAGTCTAAGACCACTACACCAACAAGACAGTCGAATTAACTGCGGAATTCTATAAATAAAGATATGTCGTGTGGTGGCGCTGTAACAGAATCCATCATTCTACTTCGTCCCTTTTTTTTATAGGATAGTGTGACAAACGAGCTGCTTGCTGTGGCCCGTAGACGTCTACATCTATCATTGATTACAAATCAAAATGCAGATGCGTTGTCACCCATGAGGACTAAGATGGAATGCCCCTTTTCCAGTAAAAAGGGTCTGTGGGTTTCGTAAGAGATAACGGGAAATGCTGGGAAGACCTCAATAATTTCAGGTCTTTTCATACTAAACAGTATATGGCAACGACTCTGGTTGAAGATATTTTCTATCTATAAAACGAATATAAGGATACTATAACTAACTATATTGTGGGTCGGCTCGACCGGGAAAGGACCACGCTCTCACAGAACACCAGCGTAATATAGCAGCTTAATGCTGCTGTGTTTCGTATGGTGAGTGCAAAAAACCGGAGACCCTTTTTAATGGAAATGAGGCATTCCATCTTAGTCCTCAGGGGTAAAAACACATCTGCATTTTGATTCTTAAAGGAGGATAGATGTAGATGTCTATGGGCCGCAGTATCCACTTACCATCAGATGAACTATGTCCGTTTGTCACCCTTATTCTATATAAAAAAAAAACAATACGCAGTTGTCGTCCAAGATTCGTTTTCAAAAGTGATATATATCACTAATTTTATGTCAGCAAAGAACAGTAAATAATATAACACATTTGATGAGAACGGGTAGCCCAACCTCTCTCGCTTCCCGTTCCAGTTGTGCAATACAGGTATGAAATTTTTGTTGGATAACGAGAAAGGTATGTCGATCTGAGATCAATTAATCGAAAATTCAATTCATTAGGCTAAGAAAATCAATATTTTAAGCTAGTTACAGCTAATTCGGAACACATGTGCAGCACTATAGCTAGCTTAGATCTATTTCTTTTTAAACTAGGCTAGTTATACCTGGTCTTTTCATAGTTTTATATTTAACATTTGCGTTATTTTCTTTATACCAGTAGTGTTGAAAGAAATTTTAATAAACGGGTTTGTTCTACTTATATAAGTCGATTGTTTTGACTTCAATTCGAATTGAAAACGGATGGATTTTTTTTATCAGTGAGAGTCGACATCCCTTTGTCACATATTATACGTGACATGTTCATAGACGGTAGAGCCATGCTGCAGCTATATTAGTAGCACTAATGGGTCAGCTCGAATACCAGCGTAAAATAGCAGCTTAACGCTGCTGTAATTCGTATGGTGAGTGTAGAGAACCGGAGACCCTTTTTACTGGAAATGAGGCATTCCATCTTAGTCCTCACGAGTGACAACGCATCTGCATTATGATTTGTAATAGAGGATAGATGTGATGTATATGGGCCGCAGCAATCACTTACTATCAGGTGAACTGTATGCTCGTTTGTCACCCTATCCTATAAAAAAACATAACTGAGCACGTATAAACATACCATAATCTCTTTTCTGATCTACTGTGTCGTGCTGGTCGGCTAGTGGCTCCAGATATTCAGCTTGTGTTATCCAATCTAAATATCCCTTCAGATCTTCCTCCAACTGCTGCTTCTCGCGAAGCTTCTGAAAGTCGCCTCTGTTTTTTGCTTTCTCTCTTTCTTTGGAGAACTCTCTGGGAAATAACGTACGTACACTCTAACTATATTCAAATAATACGCATGCGGTGGCGGTATAAGTAAATTTTATCATCCCATTTCATCCCGTAGGTGTCGTAAAAGGCGATTGTGGGAAACTCCAGAAAAATCTTATAGCTTCCTATGGATGGCAGTATAGCTTCTCGTTTACTATCGGTTATCCAAGGCAGTCTTTAAAGTTCACTACTGAACATAGGTCTTTCCCATAGATTGCCTCAGTAGTGAGTTTTTGTCTACCGAATGTAGCATTCAACTTCGTGCTGGATAAATATGCATACAGCAGCGTAGGGAGCGCTAGAAGTATTTAAATGTCGAAAATCCTTGCCTTAAGGTGGAAGCTCCAGAGTGGCCCGCGAAATTCAAATTTTCTTGCGTTTTTTGGAATTTGCAGGTCAGGGTCAGGTTGTATGTTTAACAAAATATGATTCGCGACCATAATGAGTATGTATTTACAGAATTATAATCATTATAATCATCAATACAACCCTCTAAGTTCGTATAAGCCCATTGTATGGGTATTTCCAGAAAAACTCATTCAAAGGGATTATATGAACTTAGAGGGTTGTATTGGTGTTTTTGATGATAATAATTCTGTAAACACATAATCGTTACGGTCGCGAATCATATTTTGTTAAACATACAACCTGATCTTGACCTGCAAATTCCAAAAAACGCAAGAAAATTTGAATTTCGCGGACCACCTTGGAGCTTTCACCTTAAGGCATTTTTCTAGCTTTTTTGAAGTTGATTGCAGTTTTCCATGGACTGCAGTTGGTGTCAGGTGGACTGATAACGCGTGTTTAATTCACGATAAGATATTAAGGTATTAAAAACTTGTGATTATCACACATGATTGCATTGATTTCTCTAATCGACTTTACGATAAATACATAATAAAATGTGGTAGTATGAAATTTGTGTTTTTGGAAAGGTACGAGAAAACTTACCCTGATAACACACCGAGAATTAGGTTCATGACGAAAAACGCTCCCAATATCACCATCGATATGAAGTATATCCACTCCCAACTGTTCCCCATTGCATCTTGTATCTGAAAGATCATGTTTTCCTGGTATATCATAGCCGCAGCACAAATGGGTCGGAATAATCGCGGAATACTCGCACCCGTATTGAATACCAGGGTAACATATCTGCACAGTGTTGTAGTTTCTTATCAGCGACGAACTTACAACCTCCTACTGGTAACGAGGTATTCCATTTAAGTATTTAGTTCCCTAATGGAAGATAGATGATTACCGTGCGTAATAAATTGCTTGCTGTACCAAAAACTCATTTTTGTGATGATGTATATATATTTATAAGAAGATTCCCTGTTAGATTTGCCTTTGCATACATTTTAAGTGCATGTAAAAATAATTGTAAAGAAGAAATTATATTATAAATTAGCTGTTATTAAAGGATAAGATTGTGTGGAAATAATTATTTCTTTAGTTAATAAGACAAAATATTTTTATTCAAAATTGGCCTTTACAAAGCAATTTTCGAAAGTCAATAAAGCTGCGCCGACGCTTCAACAATTCCCACCTGAAAGAGATCTTGTGAGAAGACATGCCAAGAAACTCACAAGAAGACTAGTTTTTTCATAACAGTTACTATTTTTAATTATAGAAAATATAATATACCTGTACTTATGTAAGAAATGGCTATGCAAGCACATTATGTCGCGCATTCATATCTTAAATAAGCAACTGATTTATAATGTCGTTTCTTCACAAGAATACTTTTTTAACTCCCGACGCAAAAGAGGGATTTTATATGTTTAACGTGTCTATGTGTGTATATGTGTCTGTCTGTGGCATCGCAGCTCCCAAACGGATGGACCGATTTCGATTTAGTTTTTTTTTGTTTGAAAGGTAACTTAATTGAATGTGTTCTTAGCTATGATTCAAGAAAATCTTTTTAGCCGTTTGGAGATCATCAGTTCTTTTTGTTTCGGTTGTTTTTTAATTTTGAATTTGAGTTATTGACCTACCATTACAGCCTATAAAAAGTCCTCTGTTGAACATAAGCTTCCCCTATAGATTGCCTCATAAAAGGAATATTTTCCATAGTTGTTACACTTGGCGGGCTATGTTCACAATCGCAGTTTTTTATTTTTGGAACGAAGTTCCTTATCGGACGGTACAAAGAACAATGGCAGACTTTCATACATAAAATTAGTTGAGAAGAAATGGTAGCGTCTATATACCAAAAATATCTTAAAATGTTAAGCCTCAGTCCCTTAATAACTCTGTCAAAGAATTTTGTACTGAGAAGGCGTCAAAAAAAAGATATTTACATTTGAACTTTTTAGGTTATGTCCTATGTCACTTGGAAAAAGTCATGCTTCCTGTGGTTGTTTGATGTTAGCTTAATACATAATACATAATTGAGAGTTTTTAGATTATTGTATCTCTATTATATATTTCCATACTATAAATGTACATTTCTGGCATGGCTCCAGGTCTTTTGTATCATAGTGACATTCTCAGAAGGGCTAGAACCCAGAGCCGTAAAGCCAGTAAAAAAAACAGTGACATTTTATTTTAACTAGTGTTGGCATAACATTAAATGGAATTGTTACATAGTACTATGATTGAGATAATGTATTATTGTATGAAATTCTTTGTAAGAGACTTATTCTCAGCCATATCACTTTTATTTTTATTATTACTGATAGTACAGTTATTACTAATAATAACTTAATATAAAAATATTTTTTGTGTTGTGTTGGTAGTCTTACAAAGTGTATACGAAAATAGTATAAATATACTAAATGGCAACATTTGAATAGAGTAAAATGATTTAAGTCATTTGATATTCCAAAAATGTTTGTTTTTTTCTGTGGCTTTAATTAAAATACATTTTTATTTGAAAAATCGTAGAAAAATAATAAAACTCATTTTATATATAACTTATTTCTAGACGCTATAATTTTTGTCAACTATTTTTCTGCCATTGCTCTTTGGCGGATGGGGGCTAGGCGAAAAAAGTGTAAGATTTTTCCGTTGCGACCACTACTGAAGTAGTGTAGACGGCCTTGGTGGCTATAAGGTAGCGTGATGAAATAATATCCATCTCCCTCGCACTTTTTCTTATCTTTCCATGAAAGAAATATACTTTTATTTTAAATGACGCTTAATTTTAATAGACACTTATATGTATTTGTTAATATATAATATAATACGTTTATCAATAATAATATACTACGAAAGGAACTTCGTTCCAATCGAGTGTTCCACGACACTCAAGTGTGTTTTTTGTTAGTTGTTAAAAGGAAGGCACTGCAGCCCATTATCAGGTTTGTTTCCTTCTGTTGCCCCTTTTTTGAGCTGTATACACAGCATACACATATTTTAAAAGTCAGATTGTAACTGTTGTGTTTTAAATATCATTTTTCAATAAGACAACAAAATATGGAAAGGAAAATATTTTCTGAAACATTTTTATACTAGAAACAGTAACACTAACTCACATTATACATAACTTCAGTCCAACCCTCCAGTGTGATACATTGGAACACGGTGAGCATAGAAAGGCCAAAATTATCGAAGTTTGTGATGCCGAAGTTTGGACCGATCCATCCTTCACGGCACTCCATATATTCGCCGAGGCTGGAGCAATTGAAGCCGTTGACTTTGTCACATGGATGCGGAGAGTCCATGATTTCGTCTAAAAAAAGTTTTTTTTTAAAAATTTGCTTGCGTAAATTGTAAAGCAAAAAAGAGCCTACTCTTTTTTACAACGCATCTGCAATTCCCCTTGTGTAGCAATTGTTCATGGGCGACGGTAGTCACGTACCATCAGGTGAGCCCTAAATGGTATTACTATTTTTAACCGACTTCAACAAAAGGAGAAGGTACTCAATTCGTCTGTATTGTTTTATGTGTGTTACCTCAGAACTTTTTTCTAGGTGAATCAGTTTTGATGATTCTCTTTTTATTTGAAAGCTGGTCCCATATAAATTTAATCAAGATCTGACCAGTAGTTCTTGAGTTATTCTTAATAATGCGTATTTAATTGACTTCGACTCCATTGATGATGTTACATTTTATTTGTTTATTGAAGTCGGTTGTACAAAATTTATAGTTTTACCACTTGTTCATATTTGAAGTCCTACTGGTTAGGTTAGGTTAGGTTAGGTTAGGTTCTTACCTATTTCTGCCGCGAAATAACAGTGCGTACACTGCTGTGTTCCTTCTGTTCTTCTGTTCTTAAAGTTTTGATACTTAATCGATTTATAATATTTTGCTTATTACAACACCGTTTTGTAACCAAATGACTGTTAAGGGATAAAGTGATAGGACTTTTTTTACGTGCAATTAATAGTATTAATGCACTCAAATTTTTATTTTAACATATTATATTAATATTTTTATTATAAAGTTTATATATTTTTAACATTTTAACAATTTTAACATATCACATATAATTATCAAGAATCACATATAGTTAACAAAAAAAAACTTGAGTTGTTTTTTCCTTAAGACCACTATTGTACATCAGCGGTTATTTTGTGTAAAAATTCTACGTGGATGAAATCACGGATATCAAGAGTCTGAGCCGCGCGACACGTCACCTCGTTCACTGCTGGTTTCTCTCGGTTCACATCCGGCGGCTAGGGTTATGCGTCGTTTGCGCACCGAGCCGAGTGTTGAATAATTTAAATGTTTCATTATCTCTTAAACTATGCTTCCTAATAACATGCTATAAAGATCAATATTTATTTTCATAAAATTGTCTAGATGATGAAGTAACATTTATTCATAAGGATTAATCTGTATTATATCAGTCTGTAAGTGAGCTTTTGCATAGTCGGTTTTCGCAATCTTTCCTATAAATAACTACAAAGTATTTGCACTTTGTGTTATGTGCAATTCCGCTGTAATTACCTCAAAGTCATTGTAATAATTGTGTTTGCGTGTGGCATACGTCACGTGCCAATCGTAGCTAACATTCATCTCGCACTTGTCTAGTGTAGTAAATTAACCTGTGTAAATGGAATAGTGCATAATAAAATAACGATCGCCTGTGCATCATATTTCTGTCGCGTCATTATAGTTTTACCTTCTTTTACAATTCAGCGGGAAAAATGAGTGTTTTAAGATCGGCACCATGCGGATGTTCCTCATCACAACCAGATTAATAAAAAAAACGATGATGTTCCCAATAATATCATGCAAAGAAAACCAAAATCACCAGATTGTCACTGTAATTATCAGTAAATACTGTCTGATTTTAAGTAATAAAGAAGCAATGAAGCAGTTCGGTATACACGGCGATCTCCTTCGATGACTCACGTCTTACCTCAGAGACCGGTCTCCGGCTTTGGCTGTTAAAGGCTTTATATCTTCATTTGTTCCCATCACATTTGGTGTGCCTCAGGGCTCTCACCTCGGTCCCTTGTTGTTCAACACATTTATCCATGATGTTTTAAGTTGCTTTCGTTTTTTCGAAAGTTTTGCTATATGCTGATGATACCAACATTTTTATTGTTGTAAAATCTATTTAAGATTGTCTTAGTTTATAGAGTGATTTGAATCGTCTTAGCGAATATTGTTTGCGTAATAAATTATTTTTAAATATAAGTAAATGTTGCATTGTCTCATATTCTTGGTAAAACACTCCTATTCTTTATGACTACAGCATTAATAATATATTATTGAAGAGGGTTACCGAGGTGAGAGATCTAGGTGTTTATCTTGATTATCAGTTAGTACTTAGATCATATATTAACTGCCAAAGCCTTTAAAATGTTGGGTTTCTTGTTTCGACAAACAATTAACTTTAAAGAAAAACTACTTTTGTAACTTATATAGTTCTCTGGTCAAGTCGCATCTTGAATGCGCTTCAACCGCGTGGAATCCGCAATATTCGATTTATAAGGACGCCCGGCAACGTATCCAAAATAAATTCCTCAAACGCTTAAAATATAAGTTCTAAACAATTCCAGCAAATTTAGTAATTAACCTCGAAACCAGACGTAAGCACCGCAATGTTTTATTTTTTGTACAAAGTTCTGAATAATTATATTGACTCCCCATATTTATTGAGTAAAATAACAATAAAGTGTCCAAATCGACCTTTTATATTCCTGTTTGTAGGACTATCTATGCAAGAAATCGATTTATTGTTAAAGCCTGTAATTTCTATAACCAACGTTTATAATACTTTAGATATATTTAATTTGAACATTTTTAAATTTATATCTACAATTAAGCAACTTACATAGTCCCTAGGTTTAACATTTTCTTTTTTTATCATCTTTTATATTATTATTACCTTTTTTATTATTATCTTTAAAATATGTGTCACAAAAAAAATATTTTTGTATTTTGTCCGATGGTCAAGTATGTTATTATTAGTTAGTGAAAACTTAACTGACTTTTGAAATAACTCAATTTAAATATTAATTATGTATTGTTATAGCTGTATGTTTTCCTTAAATAAAGAGGAAAAAATGAGCGTGTTTAAACAAACAAAAAAAAACAATAAAAAACACTTCCACTTTATTATATTAGTAGTATAGATATTACAATAAGTGTAGATGGGGTACGTACCTGTTCGTCTGTCATAACAAGACTTATGCATTTTGCCGGAGAACAGCTCGAGGCCAATTATCGCGTAAATGATAATGACGAAGATGACCAGCAGTGCGATGTGCAGCAGTGGCACCATGGCCTTCAGGATTGAGTTCAAAACTATCTGTAAGCCTGGAGAAAGTTTCCTCTATTAATCTACACATATACATAAAATTGAAGAGTCTGTCTGTAATATCGAAATAACTGACTTATTGCCCAAAGAGATTTTTTTAAATTTGCATGCCATTAAGACATTTAAAAAAATTTTGTCTGTATGTCTGTCCGGGTAAATCTTTGAAATGGCTGAACCGATTATAATGAAACCTAACTAACATATCGATAGCAATACCAGTAGTGATTTAGGCTACGTTTTATCTGAACAACTTGTTTTTTTTAATGATAAATTGAACTGACTTAGCTCAACAAAAGGCTTAGACATTTCTTTGTATTCTGTAAAACTATCATTATCGTCTAAATCAGTTAACGTTTTTATTTTTTTTAAGTGTATCAAGTCACAGCACATAGTCCACCTGATGGTAAGTGGATGTAGTAGTTCCAGACATCTACATCTATACTTGATTAAAAATAAAAATATAGTTGCTTTGTCGCCTGAGAACTAATATTGGATGCTTCGATACTAGTAAAGGGGGTTGCCTGGTTCTTCATATTCACCAATGAAACACAACAGCATTAAGCTGCTATTTTACGCTGGTATTCTGTGCGAGCGTAGTACTTCTCCGGTCGAGCTGACCCATTCGTACTGGAGCCATATAGCTGCAGCGTGGCTCTACCACGTTAAATGAATACGTTGCTTATAGACAGACATACAATTATATCCTAGATTAAGAAACAAAATGCAGATCTTCGGCACCCCTGAGGACTGATGTAGAATGCCTAGTTAACAGTAATAACCCTTCCTTGGCAGTCGGGTAAAAATAGTCTCTAATTCATGTCGCTCAACATTCGGAACACAACACTTTTCTAATATTTCACGCTAATATTCTGTACGAATGTGGTTCTTCTCAAACCGACTCAGTAGCTGTGCTATAGCTTTTCACATAGACCTTTCCATGTATGCGCCATTTAAAACAAATTTTATTTTATATTATTGAAAAAATACATATATTATACACACGGACAAATATCACACCCGAATAAATTATTTGCAGGCCATAAAACACTAGTCCGTGCGGAATTCGAATCCGCGTCACTGCAATGCCTCAACCGAACGCGTAACCATTGCGTTACTGAGCCATTACATTTATGTAACACTAACGATCCAGCCCGGCTTTGCACGGGTGACAATCCGTTCTTGGTAATTTTTAACATGCCAAAATAATATTCTGGCCAAATTTATATACCAAAATAATATTATGACCAAAGATAGCGTGATGAGTCAGTACATCGGTGGAATATATATATATATATATATATATATATATATATATATATATATATATATATATATATATATATATAGATTTATGTTACGACTCAGTAACGCAGTGGCTAAGCGTTCGGTTGAGGCTGGAGCGCCTCAACCGAACGCTTAGCCACTGCGACTCGTGCGACGCGGATTCTGGGTTTCGAATTCCGCACGGATTAGTGTTTTTATGGTTTAACATAATAATAACATGTTACGGTTTCATATGCTACGGGGCCAATATTAATTTGATATTATAATATTTTATTATAAAACATATATTAAGGTGACACCGCGAAAAAATGCACCTTCTTTCATCGAATAGTATAGGAATATGACACGACTAAAGAAATTGGAATTTTGATATAGGTAAATTCATGTCTTCATCTTGAATTTGCTTGTTCAAAAACACGTTTGTAAAATTTTGACTCGATCATAATTATTTGCGAAAACACCTCCAAACAATCACTATAGTTGAAATTACAACGAAATTAATTAATCTATATGCTTGGGAATCACTCAAATACATTCATAACATCAATATTCGTAATTTACTTGCTCATTATTTTGATTACTAAAATCAATAATTTTTTTTAAATATTTTAAGATTCTAAGCGATTTCTGAGCGATCTGAATCGTCGCGGACACTACGCAATTTTAGACCTTATGACGGCGTTTTTGAAGTTTTTATAGAAATTATGCTTCACTCGGGTCAGTCCGCCGATAACTCGCTTCAACGGTTTTCGATGTGTCGCCTTAACCATGTAGTGGCTTTGTAAGAATATTAATTACCCCATAAAGTCGCGTGGGTATCGTAAGAGGCGACAGAGGCAAACTAAAATGGATAGTAGCATCTTAGTGATAAAACTCAAAATTATAAAAAACTGCGGTCGCCAACCCGCTTGCCAAGCGTAGCAACTATGGCTAAATGAGGCACTCTATCTGGGAGGCCTGTAATCAGCAGTGGACTTTTATAGGCTATGGATGGAATGGATGGATTGATATCTATTGGATACTTACTTGGCACTCCAGAAACAAGCCTCAGGGGCCTCAACACCCTGAACGCGCGGAGCGCCTTCACGTCGAATGCATCCTTGAATATACTCGACAGCACCGTGCTTACCATTCTGCGAATAAACAGATGTAAGCAAGTTTAAGAAAACAGTCTCATGATGATCTGGAACACAGGTCCCATCTTTGTTTCTTTTTTAGTTAATAAAAGCCAGTGCTTTACTACGATAAAAAAAAACAAAAACTTACTTATTTAAAAAAGAATATATATATATATATATATATATATATATATATATATATATATATATATATAAATACTACGCACTAGTTTCGCATTCCGAACATTGACTCTGTTCAACTGAACTGTACTGCAATCCGTACACTAAACTAAATATTGCGTAAATTGAAGATTTGTGAATTCCATAAGATAATTATTATTTCATTTAAGTTATAAATTTGTTTATTTAGATTGTATATTAAATTCTTATATTTATTTTATATTAAAGTTTTAGTGCATACGCGACTCTACTATCTCCCGCCCAGTAGCGCACAATTTTTGTTTGGAATAGCTTCTCTAGTACGTAGTATATATAACTCAATGGGCGTCTTTAATGCTGAGACAGTGTGATTTACCATCTAGAGCTTCATCACTGTTTACCACCAGGTGGAAGTGCAATCATCACGCTTGCCAGGCGGATTGAAGCCGTCTCGCACCTTTGATGATGTTGCTCATCGACGGTCTGGTAGAGTAATTAGTAGTAGTAAATATAAATTACTAGTACCATAGAATATGAAGCAGTGACGTAGCCAGGCAATGTCAGTGGGGCAATGGCCCCGGGCAGCAGGATTTTAGGGTGGTGGCATTTTGGAATGAAATTAAACCAGACAGTCCACCTGATGGTAAGTGGTTGCTGCTGCCCATAGATATCTACATCTATCTTCCAATACGAATCAAAATGTAGATGCGTTGTCAGCCGTGAGGACTAAGACGGAATGCCTCTTTTCCAGTATAAAAGGTCTCCAGTTCTCTACACTCACCATACGAAACACAGCAGTGTCAAGCTGCTATTTTACGCTGGTACCTACTCTGTGAGAGCGTGGTCCTTCCACACACACTGCAACAGCAGCAGCATAGCTCTACCACGCATTAAAGATCTCAAAAAATTTGTAATTAACTATTATCGAATACTTTTGATTCAAATATATAACATGAAAGTTCTGAAAATAGATATACTCTACACTTGCTAGGGATAGGTAGGGATAAGTATAGAATAGAATATAATAGAATAGAATCACGTTTATTAAATATAGATTGTAGTACATAATACTTATTGAATGTCAATTTTTACTTTTACCACTGGTTTGCAAAAAAAAAAAAACCTCTCTCGAGGGAAGAATCAGCAAGAAACCCAGCGGGATTTTTTTATAAAGCACAATTTACAATATAATATTTTATACAATTGTTATGACAACATTTAGAAACAGCATGGTAGCGATCACCTCATTCCCAGGGGTTATTATCAGTCATGTACTCTTTAGTAGTATAATAACCCTTACTAGACAATTTTTGCTTAATGAATAATTAAAACCTTTCTATAGAAAAGGTCTGCATATTTTCTGGGGCTTTGTTGTAAAAGCGTATACATTGCCCCATGAAGGAATTACTGACCCTTTGGAGTCGAGTATATCGATTGTATAAAATGTACAAATGTTTTTGTTTTCATTTTTATATTATAATAATACTATAGAAGACTTTTACTAATTTTCTTTTTTTAAGATACCTATCTCGAAATTGGGGTGGAGGACAGGTGGTTAAGGACTCAAGGCGGCAGCATCTATATCCTACAGAAAAAGCGCTTTCAAGAGATAAGAAAAAGCATACCCTATAACGACTATTGTGAAGTCGAGTAAATTCCAGCCGTTTCGCAGGTAGGAACCTGGATGCATCACGAAGCCGTACGCGATGATTTTCATCACACATTCTCCCGTGAATATAACAAGGAAGATGTACTCGATTTTTTCCTGGAAAAGTAAAGTTATATAACATTTAACAAATACCCTGTCCTGTGGTTCCTGTTAAGTGCAATTTAGAATCAGTATTCAAACATATAGAAATAACCTTACTACAGAAAACACAACCATGAAAAAATATTAATTAATTTTTATTTGAAAATTGTACGTTATTTTTGGAACGAAGTTCTTTATACGACGATACGGATACGGCGGATGGGGGCTAGGCGACAAAAAGTGTAAGATTATTCCGTCACGACCCCTTCTGACGTAGTGTAGACGGCCTTGGTGGCTATAAGAAAGCGAGATGGAATATTATCCATCTCTCTCACACATAATCCTGCTATGAAAGAAATATTATTTTACTTTAAATGACGCTTCATTTTAATAGAAAAAGTGATTAATTTATTTGTATTTGTTAATTCAATTAAAGAGTTAAGTGGACAAAGGTGTTAACTAACAAATAGTTCTAAACGAGTAATGAGCCTTTGAAAATAATAAATAAACAAATGAACTTAGTAATTATATCTTATAGTTTTACAATAAAAATAGGTTATTCTATGCAAATTAATTAAAAAACAAAGAAAATATGAAGATACCACCTTTGTTTACTATAAACCATATTAAGTTTTGTTCAGAAGAACTTACAAAGGCTCTATGTGGTAAAAAATAAAATACCATTATTTATATTAAATAGTTTTATTTTTAAAAACAATTTATAACGAATTTTATAATTTTTATAAGACTATTTATTAATTATTGAGAATTTAGAATATTAATGTAAAACCACTGAGAATCCTGCTCAATATACTCAAGTTGTGTTCTTATATCACCAAGTTTTCTTTTGAAATTTTACCGTTGTGATTTATGATGCATCTAATGAACACTGTTAGGATAATATCACATTTTTTTACAAGGGAGACTTCCAGAAATGGTGTGTAGTTTGTCTTATAAAAATATCTGCCAGTCTTCAATGTGAATCCACTTGACATTAATTTTAAAGTTGATTTTCTGTTTTAATGGCTGTATTTGTGTTAGGTATTATTATCCCCAAATCATCTTTTAATTTATTAAAATCGTAAAAGTGGTGATTCTTATCTTCAATAACCGATATTTATGATGCCATTCTAATTATATTTTTGTAATTATTAGGAGTAAATATTTTTCCATTTCTTCTTAAAAGTTTTTCTATGCGGCTATAATCTCTGTCACAATCTAAAAATGTGTGACATACTTCTGGAAATTTGTGTTTAATAGACGCATACATTTTATGTGAAATCAGGTACTGATATAATACAATTAGAAATTGATTTTTATTTTGCCCATTGCAAGAATCTGACCATATTAACAAGTGTTGACAACTTTCCAAATAAGTTAGATTATTTAAACAGTAAAAAAGTGAACTAAGAACTTCTACACTACCATTTCCACCACAGTCTTCTGTCCAAATGCAAAAATAAGACATATGCCCATCTCTATTAATGATATGGATACCCTTATTATAAAACCATATTTGCCTCAAATAAAATGCTTTTTATATGGGAATTTTAGGTTAAGTTGAGTCTGTTGCATGTCAAAACTAATATATGATTTATCTTGTTCACTAATACACATATCTCTTTCTTGCTTTTGCAACTCAAATCCTCCTTTGTAGTTATCAATATGCTCTTCAGTGTGTGCATTTGAATCACATTTGTTACACACATCAGTTCTAGGCTGTTTAAAAGATAGATTAAATTTTGTATTGAATATATTTCTATAAGTGCAATCCTTGAGGTAATATTTGGTAGGTTTATTTTAATCCTTACATTTTTTAATATACATTGAATACATTTTTTAACAGAAAGTAATGGATTTAAATACTGTTTGTGGATATTTTGAGTACGAGAATAATGAGAACTTTCAGATGGAAAACTTCTAATATGATTGCATATGTAATTTTCTACATCAACATCTAATCTGTGTTTGTAAATATGAGTTTTACCACTTTGATCTTTGAGTGCTGTCACATCATTTAATTTAATTTTCTATAATCAATTTGAAACATATTGGAAAATGCAGTCTTACAAACTTTTATGTTTGTTGGGAAATATGTTAACGTGCTTAAAATGCTATAACTTAAAATACAAAAGCAATACTTCTATCTCTCTTTTTTTTCTATCTCTTTTTTTTTAAAAAACGTTACCCCCACACTAGAATTTTCTCCTGTGTCGTGGAGGGAGTTTACAAACATAAATTGCACAAGGACAAACATCCAGACCCGGAACAATTATTTGTAGGCCATACAAATACTTGTTCTGTGCGGGATTCGAACCCGCGGCCCCCAGCGCAACAACTGATTGCTAAGCCACTGCGCCACAGAGCCGTCACTTCGATTAATAACACATTATAACACTGTTGATTAAAGATAATACAACCGTTGTATAAGAGGATATGAAAAAAAAATGATTCTATTTTACATTAGCAAACGTAAACTATAGTTTATTTTTTATTTTGTTTATTTTTTTAATATTAAATCATGTTATCATTGCGAAGACGCAGAAGATTTATTGATTGATAATCACCTTATATTATTCCAAAAGTAGCAATGATAATAGTTCTCTGAAAATATTTCTGCTGATGGCAGTTAACACCTCTGTAACTTTGTAACGAATTAGAATTTGCGTGTTTTAAGTTCATGAATTGATTTATCATCAGTTAAAACCTATATTCATGCAAAAAAGTCGGATTTTTAAATTTTGTCAGATAGCACCTTTGTCCACTTAGCCCTTCAATTATGAATACCTAATAATATATTACGAAAGGAACTTCGTTCCAACCGAGTGTTCCACGACACTCATGCATGTTTTCCGATACCCGTGTCAGTTAAAGGTAATAAAACGAAATACAATTTGCTAATAAAAATTTATTACTCTACCTTTACCTTAACTTACCTTCAGTACCTTTTTTATTATTTATTTTATAAGGAGAGGAATGAAACTTCATATATCATTTAAAGATTTTCTGCTATAGATGTGTACAAAAACAAAATCATGTGTGTATAATTTTTCCATAGGAAACGCTTTATCGAATTAAATGAAAGCATTTTGATCACGTTCATGGCTGTATCAGCTAAGATACCTTTGCCTTCCCTGCAGGGGGAAAGTATTAAAAAAGGCATTCAAACAAACATTTTGCCTTGTTTGTATACACTTGATTTCGAATTCGAATTTCGAATAGCAAACTTCGAATTTCGAAGTTTGATAATAACACTTACCAGAACCGAGTTGGTGTAGTTGGAATCTCCGCTGGGGTATGGTGTGTAGACCGCCAGGGCGATACAGTTTGCGAAGATCGTGGTCAGGATCATCCACTCGAAGGGTCTGGTGATAACTGAGTTAAGGAATAGTCGTACCTCGCAAGATTTGATGAAATAAGTTACCAGGATACCAATTATTTGAAACCTTATCTTTATTATTTAAGCTATATTCGGATAATTGTTTTCATAACATACAAGCTATCAAGCTTGATCCTCGCTGGCACCACCGACAAATGAAACTGGTAATCTTTCTTTGGTTCTTTCTTCTTAATCGCTAATTGTGACGTCGCGTGATAGATACGCAACATAAGTGAAGTTATTCTCTTCCATCCATACATCCATTACAGCCTATAAAAGTCCACTGTTGAACATACACCTCCCTCATAGATTACTTTATGGGGACATTTTGCCATAGTTGCCACGCTTGGCAAGCGGGTTGGCAACAAGATGCTGCTGCCATCTCCTGTTTCATTTTCCCTCAGTCGCCTCTTACGACACCCTCGGGAAGATATGGGGTAGTGGATATTTGTATACCGCCATTACACGATATTCCCTTAGTAATAACAAACTAAATAATTTATTCCCATTCATTGATTCGTATTGTTACGTGATTTAACGTTGAGATATGTCACCGCCATTAAATTTTAAAAATTCCTACGGCTAAGCCTGCTGAATGATTTAAAAATAAAATAATTTGAGAAATATTTTTTTATTCATATTTAGGCCTGTGCCTGCCTGTGTTAGCGTTTACTGTTTAATGTGTTTTATAGGTGTTCGATGATATTTGAGAACGAACTATTTCGATTCAAGTCTTGGTTAATTTATTACCACACGTAGATTTTCTCCTGTATCGTGAAGGAGTTTTTTTTAGGCAGCACCAGCAATTATTTATAGCCAGTACAATAAACATTTGTCGCTTGAGGAATTTGAACTGGCGCCGGTAGATTCACAGTGCCGCAACGAAACATTGCAGTAGCAACGGCAGTGCGCTACGGAGCCGTATATAAGTAGATTAAGTATTTAAGTTATGTTTTTCAATAACATATTATAATTAAAAAAATACACGAACAAGGATCGGTAGTTTAGTAGCATAGATGAAAGTAATGAAAATAAATAATAAATAAAAATATTTATTCGCCACAAAAATACAATGGTAAATTTTAAATAAACCACTTAGTAATTACTAATTATATACAGGGCTATTTTGCAATAACCGGTCAAATTTTCAGAGAAGGTTCAGGACAAGTAATATAGGCAAATGGTGAAGAAAAATTAATTAAAAAAAATCTCAAAAATTCTGTCCTTTTTGAATTGAATTTATATCTTTTAAATTCAAATTGCGTGGTAATGCATTATTTTTACCGATTTGATTGCGCACGCACACGTTCTTAGGGGTCGACCGGTAGGCAAAAACGTTGTTGCCCATAAATCACATTCAATTTGGGATAATTTCAAATAAAAATTGAAGCCTTATTTACTCGCGTTTTCAAAAACTGCAATAATGGTATATCATTATTTATATATTCGAATTTAAATTTAAAATTTGGCTACTCTTTGAAAAATAAACCCGTATAATAACTGCTTAGTGAAAAAACGGTCTGTTATACAGTTCCTATTACATTACATCAGGAAACCCATTACTCTTGCTATTCTGCCATGGACTTTGCTGCATTTAACATACAGGGTCTTAGGCAAGTAACAAAATACACGTGTCTTATAATAAACCTAAAAAATAGATTGTTATGTCTCCCCTATAACATCCTTCACAATCCATCTTCTCCCTCATACCTCTGAAGCCGATTTTCCTTCACCCATTCCCCGGATAAACCATGCTGATCCCTTGTTAAAATCTTTTTAACTCACTATCGCCTAATATAAGAAATTCTGAAACATTAATGGTATTTAAAAACGTGTTAGAGATAATTTCTTTGTATCCTGTTAATTAATATATTAGCTATTTTATGTATTATTTTTATTTATGGTATTATTTTATTTTTATTTATAGTATCATTTAATATAATTTACGTATGTTTTTGTATATTATTTACAGTAGTAGTATTAGTATTGTACGCACTAAGTTTGCCTTTTTAAATATATTTTCCTTCGTGGGTCTACTGGAAGATATTTCAGCAAATTATGGAATAAATAGATCCTTTGTACAAACTCACTATAAGACTGTTCCTGTATCTTGTTGTGTGTACATAAATAAATTAAAAAAAATATAAGAATTAATAAATAATAGGTACCATAAATACGAAAAAAGATAACTATTTTGAGGGCTGTCATAGTCACACAGAGCCAGGGACTGCTGTTGAATCCGTCACTTGCGGCATCTTTGCCGGAAGGTAGATGGATATAGTGTAGACCGGCCGTGTGGCAGTAAATCGTTGCAGATTTTAGCAGCGGCTAATTTAACCCACCTCTTGGCTCCAGCGAGACTAATTCTGAGTAGTGAAAGCCGATGACATTTTTCTCTGACCGCGAGCAAACTTATTTCTTCAACAGCTAAAATGGTAAGTTCAGTAGTATTGACCTTAATAATAATGGATTATGTGTTTTTCACTCATGTAAGTACAATTGAGGGACCACCAATAATACAATTGATATATAGAAATCGAGACAGCTGGTTTATAATGTCCGCTCGCACTGGCGTTCATCGTAGAAGTGAATGCGAGTAGGCGCTGTCACCGCTCACCGCCGCATTGATTTGTCTATTTAGTTCCGGAACACCAGAGGATAATTATATTATGGTGGCGGTATAAGAGAATAAATCAATTTCAGTGTGAGAACCCACAGGCGAGTGTAGGAAATGACGGAAAAAACTAATGGCTTTTAATTATAATTGAACTTTACATCAGGCGTAAAATGTTCAGACCGGCGACGGGATGCAGTGTCAAATGTGCTCACGTCTGGTATTGCGACCGTAAATCCCCGTGATCGTTAATCTCTCTACTATAGAATTCTGCCTACCAATTGTAGGTAACGATTAAGCCAAATGTTCTCAAAAACGGGAGAAATATATCGTAGACGGTAGAGTTTTATTAACATTAAAATGTCGAAGATGATGGAGAGGCTATAGAATTAATCTAATCTATAAAAGTAAGATATTTTTTTTATTTTAAGTAACAAATTAAGGAGACAATTTCTTTTTGTATACGAATGGGCTTACTTAATTTAATGAAATACATGCCGATTTATTCCTTATAAAGAATAGATTACAATAGTAATATTAGTTTAACCGCATCTAAAGGGAATACTGAGAAATTATACAAAGTTTGACCTGTTCAAAGTTCAAAAACTTTATTAAACTAAGTTTGTATAAAAAGGGTTATTATAATATTAAGGAATTTATGGATGATAATAACCCCTGGAAATGAGGTGATCGGTACCAAGCTATTTCTAATTTGTTGTGTTGTTAATTTGTGTAACATCATGATTGTAAGCTGTTATTTAAAAAAAAAGTCCCGCTGGGTTTCTTGCTGGTTCTTCCCAGGACAGAGGTTTTTTCCGAACCAGTGGTAATCAAACAAAAGAGTGACTTTCAATAAGTATTATTTATAATCTATATTGAATAAAAAAGTTTCTGTTTCTATTAACAATTAAATTATGAATATCACAATAACCTAAAAATAAACTAAAAGCGATTGTCTTGTAGTTTTCACCGGCATAATAAGATAAAATAGTGTAATAGTCAATATATATAGTATAAAACAAAGTTGTAGGTACATTCAGCATTTATATACTTTAAGATTAATGGAAAATCCTTTTAGTAGTTCGTTCTTCGTTACACGCATTTTTTTCATATTACTTTAGCCAGAACACGAATATCAAAACAGCTCTTTTTTCAGATTTCATGATTCTGGCTAGATTTTCAAAAAACTTTAGGCCGTTTACTATAATAAAATTGTACCTTTTTTATATGTAATAAAATTAAGTTATGTTAAAATTTCTAGTGGGCCCAAAAGTGGCTACTTTACTCCATGGACATTAGCATGCAAATTTAGTCCTAAGATGGAATGCCTCATAGTTTATAGTTATACTGGGTCTTATCTTTCAGGTCTGAAAACAGCAATGCAATCACCATTATTTGGCGGCAACAATAGGTACAAATCACGGCACGTAAATCTAGCGTTGAACGAAACGCGGAGAGGACGTGCACGAATTGAATTGAACGAATGCGACTGGAGAGCCAATCAGCGCGTGCGAACGATACGCACGAGCCAATCAGCGTGACTTATACGCAATAACAGTCACTGTTTGACTTACATGCCGCGATTTATAAGACAGTGGTTCTTACTAAGACGGACTTTTAGGAAGAAAAGAAATCCGATCATTTAGTAAAGTGTAAACAGTAAACAATCTAATAATGGAGTAAAAAATTGCTTTTCTAAATTCCTTGCATAAGAGGTTGCGACTGCAGCTGGTATAATATAAAAATTTAATAAATCAAAATTGGAACGTAACAATGGATAACTTTTTAAATATGCAGGACCTATCTATCAAAAAGTTTAAAAATTTTATTAAGCTAAACTTGTTTAATAAGGGTTATTGTACTACTAAAGAATACGTGATAGATACGAGGGTGACACTGAAAGTTCTTAGAAAATCAAAAACTGAACAAACAAGTTATTAGTTTTATCATAACTTTTCAAAATAGTGTCCATTTACATCAATACATTGCTGCATTTGATGGAACCACTGAGACAACCACTTTGCCCACTCGTCCTTAGCGGTCTCTTCAAAGGCATTTTGAAACGCTGTCACTGTTTCCTTGGCGTCCATAAAACATTTTCCTCGAAGCTTTTCTTTTATTTTTGGAAATAAATTAAAATCGCAAGGTACGAGGCTGGGGCTATAGGGCGGATGACCCAGTAATTCCAGTTCTGACGTCGCCAAGTAGTCGATTGTTTGCTTGGCGATGTGCGACGAGGCGTTGTCGTGGTGAAAGAGGATCCTACTGTGAGGTCGTTTCTTCCGAACTTTTTCCAATACAAGTGGTAAACAATTGTTAGTGTACCACTCTGCAGTAACTGTTTTGCGATCCTCTAAAACAATTACTGCGTA